CGAGTGTCTCTCCTTATGGGTCTCCTGTTTTATTTGTGCCTAAGAAGAAGGAGGGAACCCTTAGGATGTGCATTGACTATAGGGGCCTCAATGCCATCACTGTCAAGAACAGAGAGCCCCTACCGCGCATCGACGATCTGCTAGATAGAGTGCAAGGGTGTCGGTACTTCAACAAGATAGATCTGAAGTCCGGGTACCATCAGATTGCCATACCGCCCGAGGATCAACACAAAACCGCTTTTCAGACCAGGTACGGTCTGTACGAGTTTGTGGTGATGCCTTTCGGCCTTTGCAATGCTCCTGGCACCTTTCAGCTTGCTATGAATCGGATATTCCATGACTACTTGGATAAGTTTGTCATCGTGTACCTCGATGACATACTTATTTTTAGTAAGACTGTCGAGGAACATGTTGCAGACTTGGACAAAGTCCTCGGTCTCCTGCGACAGCACAAGTTCAAGATCAACGGTGAGAAATGCGAGTTTGGCCGTACCCGTATCTTGTTGGGTCATGAGATCTCCGCGGAAGAGTTGAAGCCCGATGACGCGAAGGTGGCCAGCATTCATGATTGGCCACGTCCTCAGTCTGTGACTGAGATGAGATCTTTCTTAGGAATGATAGGCTACTATAGGACTTTCGTTAAGAACTACAGCATAGTGGCCGCTCCTTTGACTGATCTGACCCGCCTTGACTCCCCTTGGGAGTGGACAGATAAGTGCGAGGCTGCTTTCAGACATCTGAAGCATGCATTGACGCACTATGAAGTCTTGAAACTTCCTGATCCAGACAAGCCGTTTATAGTTACAACGGATGCCAGCCAATATGGCATTGGCGCTGTGCTTGCGCAGCAGGAGGGGCCAAAGTTGAGGCCAGTAGAGTACATGTCCAAGAAAATGTCGTCTCAGAAGTTGGCTAAGTCCACTTATGAGAAGAAACTCTATGCGGTGTACAAGGCTCTCACCCATTGGAGACACTACCTCCTTGGGCAGTTCTTCATCCTCCGGACGGATCATCAGACCCTAAGATGGATGAGAACACAACCGGTACTCTCTGACGCTCTCAAGCGTTGGATCGAAGTCATTGAGCAATATGACTTTGACCATCACTATCTCGAAGGGGAGTACAACAAGGTTGTTGATGCCTTGTCGCGCAGACCTGACTTCTCAGGTGCGCTGATTACCGAGTTCGATCTGACGGACGATGTTATTCAGTCTTTGGTGGAAGCCTATCGTCAGGACCAGTTTATGTCTGAGATCATACGCAGACTTGAGGCGAAGGATAARAAGACCTCCGCCGAGTTTGAGTTGGTCAATGGATTGTTGTTCCTAAAGAAGGCAGGGAATAAACGCTTGTGTGTTCCAAATAGCGAGTCTTTGCGTAGTTTGTTTTTAGGCGAGTGTCATGATGCCACCGGCGATTTTGGGTACAAGAAGACCGCAGCCAACTTGCTGCAGCGGTTCTGGTGGCCCACGATAATAAAAGATGCACAGTTGTAAGCGGAAACTTGTCAAGTATGCCAAAGAGACAAGCCCCGTACTCAGGCTCCTCTTGGGCTGCTCAAGCCCCTTCCGATTCCGGAAAGGCCGGGTGAAAGTTTATCCATGGACTTCATGGATACGCTGGTCACCAGCAAGAGTGGGATGAGACAGATCTTTGTCATCGTGGATAGGTTTAGTAAGTTTGCTAGATTAATAGCTATGCCAGAAACAGCGAAGACCGAGTACGTGATCAGGCTATTTAAAGAAAACTGGGTTAGAGACTTTGGACTGCCGAAGTCTATAGTTAGTGACAGGGACGTCAGGTTCACGAGTGAATTATGGAAGGCCGCTGCAGCTGAACAAGGAACTCAACTGCAGATGACTTCTGGTAATCATCCAGAAGCAAATGGCCAGGCTGAACAAATGAACCGCGCTGTGCAATACCTGTTGAGGCACTACATCAAGCCCAATCAGGTAGACTAGGACGAAAAGCTTGCTCTAGTCGCCAGTCTATATAACAACGTTGTCCACAGTGCTACCGGGACGAGTCCTAACAGTCTACAACTAACATTCAAGCCTAGACTGCCCTTAGACTTCCTACTTCCAGACAACCGGCCAACTGCTACACCGGGCACTCTGGAGTTCGCCTATAGATATGAACAGAATATGCAGGAGGCTGTAAAACACATGCAGAAGGCACATGCAGCAATGATAGAGTCTGAGAATAGACACCGCCGCCCTTCTACATTTCAGGTTGGGGACAGAGTCTGGGTCAAATCTTCAGAACTGGGACAGGAGTTCGGGATATCCTGCAAACTCATGCCTCAGTACTTTGGACCTTGGGAAGTTTTAGACGTAGTAGGGACAGATCCTGATGGTCCGTCATATGTCATCCGTATCCCTGGTCATCTCAGAACTTACCCAGTCTTTCACGCCTCTAAGCTCGCTGCATCCAAGGAAACTGATCAGTTTCCCTCTCGTCGATCCATGCTGCCGCCAACCATGGACGGAGAAGTCAACATCGATGATATCGTTGGCCACAGGGAGATGCCTGTTCAGAAGCCTCCAGGAAGGGGACGTCCTCCAAAGCCAAAGCTGCAGTTCCGAGTCACTTTCAGACATCATACAGATCCGAAGGAGGACCGCTGGTTTACTCGGGAGGAACTGATGCAGACCGCTCCTTAAATCGTTGCCCGCTATGAGAAGGATGTACTGAAAGGAAAGCACCAGATGGCTACAGATTGATCTTCGCAGAGGACTAACGAAGATATGGAGGGAATGCGAGGCTACGCCCGCTTAGCCCCTACGGGGCCCTATCTGCAAGAAGGTCGGCCTCCCTAAGTGAAGGCAGGCACGACAGGCCCTTTGGGCCTCATTCTTCAGGGTACCCCACATCGGGGAAATTCAGACAGTTGCGTTGCGCCAGTCGGTTGAATGAATCCAGGCCCTGGGCCGCCTGTGTAAATGAATGTGAAGCAGGCCCTGGGCTGGATACGGGTACCAGGCCAAACACAGGCCGAAAGCAGTTGGGCGCATGCAACCACTTCAGGCCCAAGGCCTGCTCTCTTCGTTACTGGGCCTGTGCCTACCGGGGCCTACCGGAAGCTTCCTGGACTGGACGCAGGCAGGCCACTTCGATATAGGGGAGGGCCTGCCTCCTCATTCGGCATTCGGGTGCTGGCTGCATGTTGCGTGAGCGCTGCTGCGCAATCCGCTGGCTGGCTGGCTGGCACTCACACTCTCACGGGTGAGTAGGAGGGAGCACGCAACCATAGCCAAGTTGCGCTGCTGTATGCTAGGTGAAGCGCAGGGTGGTCCTTGGGTGCTAGTGGCATATGTGCGGTGTGGATCGGGGTTGTGAGTGTTACGAGAGACATACCTGGTGCTGAAGCGTGCGACATTGGTCGCCATATGCTCGTACTTCGGGAACGCTGTTGATGTCATCCTTCTGCTTCGTAGTATAGGCTAGATAAGACCTTCCACATGTAGTCTGGGCGCCGAGCGCCAATAGGATATCAACTCTGGTTCGTAGTTGAYGATGATGGGACTACTTCATCATTGTCAATTTTGAACTCTTGGTGTGTTCTTATTTGGTGTATCTCGTTATGCAAGTCTGCTGTGGTTCGAGGTGAAGACTATCTGGGCTCATATGTATGATATGGTTTGATTGCTGAAGTTCGCTAATGCTCATCTTCCTTGCACTTCATGCTTCAGCATACACAAAACCCGCACTCCGGCAGCTAAGAAGTGGGCATTAATTTTATTTTTTTGGATGCAAATAGTCGAGAATATTATTTTTTTTTTTTTCTTTAATACGGTACGCGGGGGGCTTCTCGTTGCACTTGGATCCATATCTTGTTTCACCACACATAAAACCCACACCGGGCCACTAAGAAGTGCTCGTGAATGTTTTTGTTTTTTTAATATATATCGAGGAATATATGTTTTTTTTTTTTTTTTCAAGTTGCGGTGTCGAGCGCATCGATCCGGCACCGCACATGGCTGCACGGGACCCTCTCGGCCGCGTCATGCAGGAGTTGGACCAACCTCGTCGCGAACACACAAATGGAGTTTCCTTAGGCCGCTCCGGTCGAGTGCGCCGGCCATACCTCTCGCGAGCCCCTACGACAGGATAGGGCTTACGCGAGGCACAACTTACCTCCACCTTACGGGAGTTGTCACCTCCCTTCGGTGGGCGTATCCCAACCGAGCTACCAGTCCACAATACGAAAGCTAATCAGTTGCAATGGCGGAGGTGGACCAGCCTAGGGCGTTTCTCGTTTGCTGTAGCATAGGGGGTACGTGCGGTAATACGCCTATCGGGCCCGCACGCGAACCGACATCTTGGGCGGCTGAAGTTCCAAGCGCGGCCCGACGTCGGTCGACTAGGACGCATCCCACACACCACGCGCACACCACTTTACGAACACAAAAATAAAACACACACACACATGAAACGACACAACACAAACAACGCGACAACTCTCATAGCCCCTCGGTAGGCAACCCATAAATTTTCAATGCGGAAATCGGATAGGCGTTGCGCGCGAGACTTAGTATAAAACCGCGCGGACGCAGGGCTAACTCATATCGACTCACAATGCAAGCGTACGAAGCAGTCGCAATGATGGCGTACCATGTAGTACCCATGCTCGCGCGGCCCCTGTTAATCTCAAGGGTCGCGTTCGACACTCAAGTGTCGGCTGACACGCGCCTTGAGGGTTAATCTCTCGACGCCGGACAACCGCCAAGCGCGATTGAAGACCACACACCCTCTTCTGCACTCTGTGCAGAGCGGGTGGTACACATGTCCATACCTGTGGTGACAGTCGTTTCTTGCGGCCCTGGGGGTAAGTCCTACTCCAGGCCTGGGCAAAAGTCAAGGGGTTTGACTTTGACGGCCGCCACGGACTACAACGTCCAATCATACAAACTCTAAAAAGCAAAAAAAAAAAAAGGAATCCCTATTTTCTCTCAAAACACAACCTGGTTAACCCTTATGCTCAATTACAGTAGGCCTCTCAAATACTCAGGGCACTTATAAGTATATAAGGGTTAATTATATAGGACGATCACTTCTCACAGTCACAGTGAGGCTCCTCTTAGCCATACACGTATGTAATTGCAGGCAGTCACATCCAAAGTCCGAACCACAAACGCACCTGCAATCACATCAAGGATTCAACCAAAAGTCCACGCACTACGCGGGGTCAACTTCAACCATTCCCTGCGCTCATACCCCTCGCTTTAGCCATACAAGCCTTACTCGTGCAACTCTTAAATAAATACTCAGTACTTTTGTTGGATAACCATTCAATAAATTTCGGGTGAAAATATAACAAAACAGTTCAATCACAAGGTTAAAGCCTTTTAGTTGAGTGACAGGAGCGAATTGGAGTTGAATTGTAAACCTACGAATCGGTAACCGACTTGTTATCAGTGATAATAGAAAATGATCCTTATAGGATCAAGCTGAAACTAGTCCAAATCCCGAATCAAACGACCAAGACGACCTGTAACACAAGACAGACCAATCCCCAAGCTAAACCATCGGCATATGAGGGATGAACCTCCATAGCACATTCTTACTCAAGTCATCCGCCAACTAGGTCTAAGCCTATCTCTAAGCCAGTGCCCAAAGCAAAGGTAGACCAATGGCAGAGTCTCCCCTTCCTATTCAGGGTGGATTGCCAGAATCGTCACCCGTCAGAATACAATCTATCTCCTCTAAATCAAAAAAATTTCGGCAGCGCTTCCCGTAAGAAAAGTGTCTTTTCAGAATTTATATCAGTCCGAATATGAAAACAGAATTAGTCTTTGACTTTCCAAAGTCCAATTTTGTCTAACTCCCTAAATTAGCAAAAATTTGGGCAGCACTCCCTTTAGAAAAGGACGCTTTCCAGATTTTCACTAAGTCATACATGAACTTTAGACAATTTGAACTTTAAAAAGTCAAAAGTCGACTAACTCATTGGATTTGCAGAAATTTCGGCAGCGCTTCCCGTAGAGAAAGTAGCTTACCAAAATTTATACAAAGCCAAGTATAATAAAAGATCCCAGAAAATGCGAGAATTGATCTAAGTAAAAAAAATTAGCTCAGAAAATGTAGGAATCGAAACTAATCCCTATGGCTCTAGCACGTGGCGAGCAACTAAAGCAACTACCTATCAAACTGAAACACAGATCAAGTAGTAGCCTCACTCAGTCACATGCAGGCCAAACCACAAATATAAGTACCCTCACCATCCCCAAGTCAACTTCGCAAACAATAGTTTGTAGTCTTTCAATGATTTAACCCTTTATACCCAACTTACATAGAGCGTAAAGTCAGGTCATCCAATCTTATGGAACATGCTTGACTCAACCATCAAGTATACACGAACAGGTTGCACAAGTACTTTTCTCTTCCTTTGGGAAGATGACTAAGCCATTCATTTTAGGAACAATGCTTAGTCGCCCTGACCTGTTCAATATCCAAGTTATATATACTTTTCTGAACTTAATCTCCAAGGTGGGCGTACGACTGAGCCATTCATCTTAGAAATAATATTCAGTCGGCCCAGGTTACCTTCAGTTATACTCTTAGTTATACTTTCTTCAAATTTGTGGTAAGCTATAATTAGACCACCCAATCTTATGGGACCCTGTCTGACCAATATAGCCAAATTATAACCTTTGGGTTCCAGCATGTGCGAGGCATTGGGTCAGACCATCCAATCTTATGGAACATATCTGGTCCTCTGCCAGGTTCGTTTCTCTCTGATCCATCTGTGTGCGGCATGAGTCCAAAGCCATCCAATCTTATGGAACATGCTTTGTTCTCAGCAGAAATTACTCCCTCAGAATAAACAAACAAAAGAGTCGAGCCATTCATCTTAGAAACAATGCCCAGCTTACAGCAGCGCAGCTCGGCTATGGCTGCATGCTCCTTCCCTGCTCGCTCGTGAGAGCGTAGGCGCCAGCCAGCAAATAGCGCAGCATGCAGCCAGCACCCGAATCCCCAATGAGGAGGCAGACCCTTTGCTATATCGAAGTGGCCTGCCTGCGTCCAGTCCCAGGAAGCTTCCAGTAGGCTTCGGTAGCCTGAGGCCCAGCACGACGAGAACAGGCCTTGGGCCTGAGGTGGTTGCATGTGCCCAACTGCCTTTGGCCTGTGTTTGGCCCAGTACCCGTATCCAGCCCAGGGTCTGCTTCACATACATTCACACAGACGGCCCAGCGCCTGGGTTCACTCAACTAACTGGCGCTGCACAACTGCCTGAATTTCCGTGAGTTACGTGGTGGCCAAAAAAGGGCCCTGAGGGCCTCGTCGAGCCTGCCTTCACTTAGGGCGGCCGACGGGCTGCAAAAATGGGGCCGTATGGGGCTCATAGAGGCAGTGGCCTCGCATTCCCTCCTCCTTAGCTTCAACAGTCCTCTGAGAAGCTCAGTCTTCAACCATCGGGCGATTTCCCTTCTGCAGAGATCTTTCGTATTGAGTTGCAACTTGAGGAGCGGTCTGCATGAGTTCTTCCCTGGTGAACCAGCGGTCCTCCTTCGGATCAGTGTGATGCCGGAACCAAACACGGTACTGCAGCTTCGGTTTCGGAGGATGTCCCCTGCCTGCTGGTCTTGATACCGGCAACTCTCTGTGATCCACGACGTCATCAATGTCCACCTCTCCGTCCATGGTTGGGGGCAGCATTGAGCGACGAGATGGGAATTGATCAGTCTCTTTGAAAGGTGCCAGTTTGGAGGCGTGAAAGATAGGGTAAGTACGGAGATGACCAAGGATCCGGATAACATAAGATGGCCCATCCGGATCTATCCCGACGATGTCCAAGACTTCCCAACGTCCAAAGTATTGGGGCATGAGTTTGCGGGAGATCCCGTACTCCTGTCCCAGTTCTGAAGACTTAACCCAGACCCTATCCCCAACTTGAAATGTAGAAGGTCGGCGGTGTCTATTTTCAGACTCTATCATTGCAGCCTGCGCCTTCTGCATCTGTTCTTCAGCCTGCTGCATCTTCTGTTCATAGCGGTAAGCAAATTCTAAGGTACCTGGTGCAGCTGTCGACTGATTCTCATTAAGGAGAAAATCCAAGGGTAGTCTAGGCTTGAAAGTCAGTAGCAAACTGTTCGGGCTCACCCCGGTGGCGCTGTGTACCGCATTGTTATACAGACTGGCGATGAGTGCAAACTTCTCATCCCAGTCCACCTGGTTGGGCTTGATGTAATGCCTCAACAGGTGTTGTACAGCGCGGGTCAGTTGCTCAGCCTGGCCGTTGGCCTCTGGGTGATTCCCAGAAGTCATTTGCAACTGAGTTCCCTGTTCTGCAGCAGCGGCCTTCCACAGTTCGCTGGTAAATTGGACATCCCTGTCACTGATTATGGATTTCGGTAGGCCAAAATCCCTGACCCAGTTCTCTTTAAACATTCTAATCACGTACTCCGTCTTTGCTGTTTCCGGCATTGCTATTAACCTAGCATACTTACTAAATTTATCCACAATGACAAAGATGTGACGCATCCCACTCTTGCTAGTGATCAGAGTATCCATGAAATCCATGGACAGACTCTCACCAGGCCGTTCCGGAATCCGAAGGGGCTTCAGAAGCCCAAGAAGAGCCTGAGTACGTGGCTTGTCCCGTTGACAAATTTGACAAGTCTCAACGTACAGCTGGGCATCTCGCATCATCGTGGGCCGCCATAACCACTGCAGCAAGTTGGTTGCGGTCTTTTTATACCCAAAATGGCCGGTGGCATCATGACACTCACCTAAAAACAAACTACGCAAAGACTCGCTATTGGGAACACACAATCGTTTATTCCCTGCCTTCTCAAGGAACAGCAAGCCATTGACCAACTCAAACTCGGCAGAGGTCTTCTTGTCCTTTGCCTTAAGTCTGCGTATGATCTCAGACATGAACTGGTCCTCGCGATAGGCTTCCACCAAGGACTGAGTAACATGGTCCGTCAAATCGAACTCAGTAATCAGCGCACCTGAGAAATCAGGTCTACGTGACAAGGCATCCGCAACCTTGTTGTACTCCCCTTTCATATACTGAGGGTCAAAGTCATACTGCTCAATGACTTCGATCCAACGCTTGAGTGCGTCAGAAAGCACAGGCTGGGTTCTCATCCATCTCAGGGTCTGATGATCAGTCCTGAGGATGAAGAATCTCCCAAGAAGATAGTGTCTCCAATGGGTCAGAGCCTTGTAAACCGCATAGAGTTCCTTCTCATAGGTAGACTTGCCAACTTTTGAGACGACATTTTCTTGGACATGTACTTTACAGGCCTCAACTTTGGCCCCTCCTGCTGCGCGAGCACGGCGCCAATGCCATATTGGTTGGCATCCATGGTGACTATAAACGGCTTGTCAGGATCAGGAAGTTTCAAGACCTCGTAGTGCGTCAACACATGCTTCAGATGTCTGAAAGTTGCCTCGCACTCGTCTGTCCACTCCCATGGGGTGTCAAGGCGGGTCAAATCAGTAAGAGGAGCAGCCACTATGCTGTAGTTCTTAATGAAAGTCCTATAGTAGCCTGTCATTCCAAAGAAAGATCTCATCTCAGTCACAGACTGAGGACATGGCCAATCACGAATGTTTGCCACCTTCGCGTCATCGAGCTTCAAACCTTCCACGGAGATCTCATGACCCAAGTACAAGACACGGGTGCGGCCAAACTCGCACTTCTCTCCGTTGATCTTGAACTTGTGTTGTCACAAGAGACTGAGAACTTTGTCCAAATGTGCAACGTGCTCCTCGACAGTCTTACTAAAAATATGTATGTCATCGAGGTACACGATGACAAACTTATCCAAGTAGTCATGGAATATCCGATTCATAGTGTGTTGAAAGGTCCCAGGAGCATTGCAAAGGCCGAAAGGCATCACCACAAACTCGTACGGACCGTACCTGGTCTGAAAGGCGGTTTTGTGTTGATCCTCGGGCCGGATTGCAATCTGATGGTACCCGGACTTCAGATCTATCTTACTGAAGTACCGACACCCTTGCACTCTATCTAACAGATCATCGATGCGCGGTAGGGGCTCTCTATTCTTTACAGTGATGGCATTGAGGCCCCAATAGTCAATGCACATCCAAAGTGTACCCTCCTTCTTCTTAGGTACAAATAGTTACGGAGACCCATAAAGAGAGACACTCGGCCGGATCCAACCCTTCTCTATGAGTTCCTTGAGTTGGCGGCGAAGCTCATCAAGCTCGCCTGGAGACATCCGATAGATCCTACCCTTCGGGATACTAGACCCTGGGATAATCTCTATCGCGTGGACGACCTCCCTCTCAACAACCCCTGTTGGCTCTTCAAATAGATCAGGGTACTTAGCAACTACTCCCTCTATCTCCGGCGGCATTTTCACCGGCTCGCCTGCAGCAGAGACATAGACTAAATACGTACCCTCCTCCTGATTTTGCTTATAGTAATTGTAAAACACGGCCGCACACATGCACCCATAGGACTCAATCAGACTCCTAGCTTTGAACTTATGTAATCTGGCGGTCCCTCCACCTGGCAAATTGTGTTTGACCACTTTTCGGTCCCAGTCAAACTGGGGCTGTGCCACAGAGAGGTATTACATACCTAGTAACATATCCATTGGGAGCTCGTTACTCACTAGGAACGAGACACGATGTCTCAAGTACCCTCCCGCGTATGGAAACAACACTCAACATCCTGGAGGTAGTCATTGACTACCATGCGCTGTTTGTTGGCATAGGTCGACTCCACAGGTCGACTCAGGTGCTGGACTTGCCCCTGTAAACGCAGCCTCTCAACGCACGCGGGACTGATAAAGTTCCTAGTCGAGCAAGTGTCATAATAGGCCCCAGCCTTGCGGCCACCAATGACAACCTCGCTGACGAACATCTCACCCTTAGGGGCTTTGACTAGAGTCGTCCAAGAAGCTAGTGGGTCTGATCTAGACCACTCCACCTCTAGCTCCTCTAAGGACTCAAACAAATTCATCGAACAGAGGCTCGATGGGTTTGAACGTGTTTGCGGGACAACGCTGGCGTCAGTAGCTTGGGCCATCTCTCGAGATGGTGAGGGTGTCTCCACCACCTCGACCCTAGCAGGAACAGCTACTATTCCTACTGGCCCGACGTGTTTCCCGGAGCATTGCCAGAAGTACTGGCGACATTGCTGCCAACGGCGTGAGAGGATCCCAACACCTCTCCATCGTAGGCGGGATCTTTTCTGTCACCTTTTTATTGCAGCACTTGAATTGGCTGTTGCCATATTGATCACAATGAATACAGACCTGTCGTGAGTATTGGTCTCTCCACACGTGTAAGACCCGCTTTCTCCCATGGAGGAGCATTGGGGTCAACTTGACTCCTAGACCGGAAACCTCCACAGCGTCTACCAGTTGCCTTTCCTTTTTGAGCTACGACAGCGACCACTCCACCCTCTGAAGTTTCTACGCTGCCCGCCTTTGTACCTACTCCCTCCTGGAAGTGTTCGTCTACTTCGATAGTGGAACCATCATTATCGACAAACATTAAGCGACCCTTCGCCTTCCAGTTAGGAGGCAGTGTCTTCTTCCTCCCATCCGTAGTGAGTGTCTGTCCATGCCCTATCTTAGCCTCGAGGTCTAGGGCCATCTTGCTGAACGAAGGGAAGTTGTGCATATTGATGTTGGCCTCCCTTGCCAACTGGTTCCTGAGAGGCAAAGAGAAGCATCTCAGGTACGAGGTAAGTAAGACCTGGGGGTCATAGCGCACCCTTGGGACGCAGATCAGACGCTCAACAGCGTCGGTGGCTTCCCTTACTGACTTGAACTGCCGCGTGTGCAGTGTCAGGATCGCATCAGTGGCCCTTTGGGCCTCATGAGGATCGTGCCACCTGTCCTCCACCATCTTCAGGAAGTCCTCCAATTTCTGGGTGACCGCCCAAGCGTGGAAGTCATGACCATACCCCTGGAGCTGCACTAAAACACTCAACCATCTTGCTGCACTACCCTCTAGGTAGGAAGCAGCCACAATCACTTCTTCGTGCGGCAAGGTAAGTTTACACCTGAAGTAGACCGACACTGCCCTCAACCACGTGTCGAGGTCTTCGCCTCTCTTGTCCCCTGTGAAGGGTTTCAGAGCGGCGATGGCCGTCTTTGGAACCCACTGTGGTTGTCCCGGTCCCTGCACCACTCCGGGTTGTGGACCCGGTGATACAGGCTGTTGTGCTAGCTGCTGAGGTTGTGTGCCCTGCGGCTGCACAGGCTGCGTGGTGACTGCAACCTGCACGGAGTTTGGGTGAACACTGTCTGAACAGGAACCTGCAAACTAGTCCCTGCTGATATCCCTCCTGACAGCGGCATGCCTAGGGAAACGATCGCAACCGATGATGGGGCTACATATGGGGATACCCCTGTCACCGGTGGGACAGAAAAAGGAGGATATGGCACGGGCCAGGCACCAGGCCCGGCTGGTGATGGTACCGCCTGAGTGCGCCCTGCCAGAATGGCTAGGCTTTGTTGGATATCCTAGAGGATGGTAGTCTGATGCTCCTGCATCTCTATTACTCCTAGCAGGGGCCTCCTAACTACCCTCACATCATCATCCATGTTCGTGAGGTCCATCGTCTCTAACTCCTCTATGTCTGCCCCTCTCCTCTACATCCTGGCTCTTCTTCTAATCATGTTTTCCTTCTCCGCTTTTATCTGTCGTAATGCCTGCTGTAACTGTGCCTCCTGCAGGGCTTCCTGCTGGATGGCGACATCCTCTGGGCTCAACACTACTGCCTGGCTTGCCATAACGCCAGTGGACTGACTCACGATCTGCGTGACCGTTGAACGGACGATACCTGAACTGCTCGCCTGGGAAGTCCGCTGCGCACAAGTGACCATAGCGGAAGTGGCCATGGCTGCTGTAGCAGCGGCCTCGCTAGCGAAAGCCCTGCTGGCCTCGGCTGCTCTAGCTATCCTCTGCTGCTGTTGCCTCTCCCTAAGCTGGCGGAACAGAATCCTATCACCCTCCAGTCCTAAGGACACGTGGGCTATCGGGCGTCTAGCTGATCGCAAGATCCGGTCGTCTGGTGGTGTGTCCTCCCTGTCGCTCATATGCTACAGCACTGTGCACCGTCTACACTAGGTCACTCAAGATGCCTACCGCAACAGAGGTGCACAGACCAATTTAAAATAAATAAATAATTAATTGGTGACTATTCCGGAGCAGATACATTCAGGTTCTAACAAGTAAGTCCAGGTTCCTACAAACGAAACTATTTTTAGTCTGACTAGTCCGCAAACAGAAGCACCAGGAACAATAAACAGTTCTAACTAATGTTGTCTGTCAGATGTCAATGGCTGTACACCTAACTAATCAAAACATAAAAATAAAATCATTTGTGTGGATAGGACAACATGGAATTTTCTCGAACTTATCACCTGGAATCAACCCCTCCCTTAGTTCCCCTGAGTATCACTTGACGTCAGCGTCCCTGAGCAATCTGGAGAGCGTCACGTGTCTAAAGGTGTGTGTCCAGCCCACCCCTGTGCCCCAAGTAACTGTTGAGCTGGCCAGCCCTGCACTGGTTTATCCTCGCGTGCAGCGAGCCTTACAACCATTGGCTGATCCAGAGGCAATTTAACGTCCGCCCCCAAGTGACTCCAGGAATTCTTTTACGTCGTAGCCGGACGACGATCACAGCCAATGGTTCCCCTTCCGGTGCTTATTTAAAGACGCCCGGTCTCGTCTCCCTCAAGGACTGACCTGCCCAACAGTACCCATCTAACAGCGCAGCAAGCTGAACAAAGGACAAGCAGCAAGGCATGCGTGCTCTACTCCCTGTGGGTTGGCATGGTGACCGTGACCCAGTGCTTCGTCCAGGGCCCTTCAGAAAGCTCCGCCCATCTTCTCCCAGATGCTCCACGTGAACATTGCCAACTCTCAAGGTCGAGCGCACTCGACACCTCACAATGAGAGGACTCTCAAGAAGGAACACACAACCTCACGGTAAGAAGTGTCGGAGAGGGTAGATAAGGTTAAGAGCAACGTACCTCAAATAGCTGCCCTCAACCACAGAGATAATCTCACCAGATGACCAAATGGCAATTGTGATGACCAGTCACTGCATCGGCACAACCAGCATTATCTCGCCGTTCCACCTCAGCATCAATCGCACATTGGATAGTTATCATCACACCGTCCAGACCACATTACAACCCACGTAGCCTTCCAGGCGATCCCCTCACCTCCTGGGTCGCCTAATACTTGTCTCCACCCTCCTCACTACACACCACTTACGGCCAAACTCGCCCAGCAGACCGCATGTATGTACTGCATAAGGCAGAAGACAAGCGCCGGATGAGCGCAAACGTACCACAGCTCCGATACCAAATTGCAAGGAAGTTGAGCAATAGCGAACTTCAGCAATCAAACAGCATCATACATATGAGTCCAGATAGTCGTGACCTCGAACCAACAGCAGAATTGCATCACGAGATTCACCAAAGAAGAACACACCAAGAGTTCATAATTGACAATGCTGAAATATTCCCATCCATCACCAATGAAGAACCAGAGTTGATATCCTATCTGGCGCTCGACGCCCAGACTACATGTGGCAGATCCTCTCTAGCCGACACTACGATGCCGAAAGATGACGTCAACAGCATTCCCGAAGTACGAGCATAAGGCGACCAATGTCGCACGCTTCCAGCACCAGGTATGTCTCTCGCCACACTCACAACCTCGTTCCCCAACACACAGATGCCACTAGCACCCAAGGACCACCCTGCGCTTCACCCAGCTTACAGCAGCGCAGATCGACTATGGCTGCGTGCTCCTTCCCTGCTCGCTCGTGAGAGCGTAGGCACCAGCCAGCAAATAGCGCAGCAGCGCTTGCGCAGCATGCAGCCAGCACCCGAATCCCCAATGAGGAGGCAGGCCCTTTGCTATATCGAAGTGGCTTGCCTGCGTTCAGTCCCTGGAAGCTTCCTATAGGCCCCGGTAGCCTGAGGCCCAGCACAACGAGAATAGGCCTTGGGCCTGAGGTGGTTGCATGTGCCCAATTGCCTTTGGGTTGTGTTTGGCCCGGTACCCGTATCCAGCCCAGGGCCTGCTTCACATACATTCACACAGGCGGCCCAGGGCCTGGGTTCACTCAACCAACTGGCGCTGCGCAACTGCCTGAATTTCCTTGAGTTGCGTGGTGGCCAGAAAAGGGCCCTGAGGGCCTCGTCGAGCCTGCCTTCACTTAGGGCGGCCGACGGGCTGCAAAAATGGGGCCTTATGGGGCTCATAGATGCAGTGGCCTCGCAACTCAACATTATTATTGTTTTTTCGTGTTTGAATAAGAGGGGAGGAGATAAGGAGGAGGAGAGTGGTTGGCGAAGAAGAAGAGCATTGTCATTGGTCTATGCTGGAGTACGTCATCTTCTTCTTATTTCTTTCTTCTTCTTCTTCTTCTTCTTCTTCTTCTTCTTCTTCTTCTTCTTCTTCTTCTTCTTCTTCTTCTTCTTCTTTCTCTCTCTCTCCTCTCAAATCCATTCATTTCTTTTTGCAATTGGACGACGTTGTACTTTCTGATGATTGTGTACTTCGAAATTGGCCAAGATCGTAACATTGGTATCATAGCGGATTCTACTTGCTGGCGAGAGTTGACTTTGCCGCCATAACCCTAAACTAAGTGGTAAGGGCTAACCACATAGGGTAAGGGCAGGAAGTTAGGGTTAAGTGGGGCAGCGTGGTGAAAGGGAAGTTGCTCCCACCTGGTAGGGTCGTGTAGGGTCAACAGTAGACCCGGCCAGGTTGCTAGAGTGCATATTTGTGGTGGCGAGACACAAGGTGGGACTTCGTGATGCAATTGGAGAGAGGTGACAGTGAAGGGCACCTACAACTGGAATCTAAACTTTAGGGAAGGTAAGGAGCGACTTTAGGGATTCCCTGAAGTTCGGTGAGCTTGAGGGTGGTAGCCATATCTGCACCTACAGACTGCAAGTTGCTACTTTGATCCTCAACATCGACAGGGGATCCGGCGTTGTACTTTGGGGTAGATGTTGACCCTCCTAGATGATAGGACACTAGTGTAGAAGATGCTAATTAGGTCAGGAGGACTATGTGAGAGGGGGGTGAGTTTCATTTCATCTCAAGAGCACGACCATTCAGGTAAGTGTCGTGCCGTGAGTTTCATTTCATCTCAAAAGCCCGACCATTCAGGTAAGTGCCGTGCCGCAAGGGTGCCAATGTGTGTGTGCATGGAATTGACTGCCTGTTGGGGTATTCTGGGTTCTTCTTCCGTCCTCCATAGTCTTCATCTTGTGTGAAGTGTGTGAACTACTTACTCACCCGACGAGTGAATGGATGGAGTATCTCGTGTGCCATGTTATATCTTTCTACAGTGCTTTGTTTATTTCATTTTGAACGGTTGTAGTCTGTAGGTTCTTTCTGGAGCTAAAATTCGTTTTTTAATACGGTAGGGGCAGAGAGTATGTGGATTGGCTATTTTTGGACAAATGTATGAAGAAAATGAACATCGGACCAGTCTTCCGGCGCTGGACTGGAATACTCCATCATAATGCCACCACGAGAGTCTAGGTTAATGGTAGGATTGCGCCAGCCTTCCCGCTGCAACGGTCGGTCCGCCAAGGGGACCCCTTGGCACCTTTTCTCTTTATAATAGTAATGGAGGTGCTGGCAGCAAACCTTCGCACTAACAAAGACATGAGGAGGTTGCAGATCTCAGCCATCCCGGATGATGCCATCCCCGTCTGCTCATTGTTTGCGGATGACCTTACCCTTATGATGGATGCCACTGTAGCAAACATGGAAGAAATCAGGCTACTCTTCGACCGATTTACAATGGTCTCAGACATAACTGTCAATTGGGGAAGCAAAACCTTGGGATGGTGGATCCACCATCAAGTGGTGCGCCCCCCGGAGTCGCCACAGGTTAAATGGCTTCCAGAAACGGCCCCAATTAAAGTACTAGGAATTATGTTAACGACTTTAGGTAAGCCCGCATCAAATAATGAGTGGATCCTTAAGCCGTTGTTGAGCGCATCGTTCCCGCACGGGGACCCTCCCACAAGGTCTTGATGCGGACCTACGGGTTGTCATCCCGCCTGCCGCCTTCCTCTCGTAACCTTAGACTAGACTTAGAGTAAGAAAGATAGGAGCAGATAGATTAGACTCTCAGATACAAGAGAGGTGCTCTCATACTCACGGGAGAGGGCCTTGTAATCTTGAATCGCCTGAGGGCCCCGCAATGGCAGCCAACGTGACAGCTTGATCAAACCGGAGTCAACTGCTGAACTCGATTGTCGAACTCAACCCCCTGACGATCTCCTAACTCGCAACACTAACTCCCCTCGCCACCACTCTACCATGCTGCAACAACAGCCCCTCTTACAGTCCAACCACAGCCGCACAGCAGCCCGCAATAGCCGTTAGACGCAGCCGCAACTTCAACAGCGGTCACAGCAACAACAACTGTAGGTATGTGGTGCCTCGCGTGACCCTGTCCTGTCGTAGGGGCTCGCGAGAGGTACGGCTGGCGCACTCGGCCGGAGCGGTAAACGCTCTCCGAGACAAGTCCTGCCAAATTCTGTGTGACGCGGCCGGGAGGGTCCCCGTGCGGGACCGATGCGCTCGACACCGCCCTAGAGAAATTGGCCCGCTGGAAAGACCAGCACACCTCCCTTATGGGCAGGGCGCTGGCAATCAACAATGTACTGTTGGTGGCCCTTCAGTATAAATCTGCAATTTGGTCCCTCAGTAAGGAAGCCGTCAGATCACTAAAGAGACAACTAACGGCCCTGTTGTGGAGAGGCAACGACGAGCTTCCGAACGTGATCGGCAGGGTAGCCTAGGCATCGGTAATCCAACCCAAAGACAAAGGGGGCCTGGGGATCCTGGACCCGGATACCCAGATTGTAGCATTAATTGTTCAATGGGTGAGGAGATTGCCCTTCACCCAACACTTCCCATGGTCTGCCTTGGCACTAGAACAGATTGCGCGTCTCGCCCCACAAGCACTGCAAGGTGTTAACCCACTAACTTGGTTGGAGGACCGTTTCTGGACTGTGCCAAGGCGCCCTCGACAAGACCGAGCCCCGTCCCGAGACGGAGCTCGCTCCGATTTGGTCAGGGATGACTGTTGGGTTCGGGTCTTAAGGGCTTGGGCCGCTTGGCGTCAACTCCCGCTGCCTGACAGGCCTCTGCCGATAAGGTGGGAGGAGGTGATGCGCCAGCCTCTTTTCG